TCCAGCATCCTCTATGTACAGTGTGAGATCAGGACCTAACAGAAGCAGGACAGTGAGTGTATCCGACTCCCCACTTCATACGAGTAGTAATGCTAGTTCTGAAGTGAGTATCAATAACAATGCGGTGTGTGTTGATGGGAGTGAAGCTGATGATGCTATTAGCAGCGATAAAGGTGTTCGGTCTCCTGCCAGTATGCGTGGAAGGTGATGATTGCCCTTCCCTGATGTGGGATGAAAGAAATTATAGCTTCGATTCAGTGCCGGATTAAGGGTTTTGGTCCCTGAATTATGATTGTTTCCTGGGAAGGACTGAGGCATATGGTTCGCTCATTATGTAAAGATTGATGCACGGTTAGTTAGCTTATATTATTTGAAGCCAGCCTTTATCTCATTAGTTGTGTTGTGTGCTTGAACCAATTTTCTGCACTATTTTCGTTCCACTTTCAAGTTCTTAATTTGTGGGGACACGACTAAGGGGTTGTTTGGTAGGATGCATTAGCTTTTGGCATTACTAATCCCTTGTTTGGTACACTTTTTCTATTACTAATGCAAGTATTAGTTATACAACCTATTTGATATTAGTTATACATAGCAAACCATGGTATTAGCAATACCAAGGCTATTAATGCATGCATTAGCATGGTTAAAGACAAAATTACCAAGTCCCTCAAAGCTAAAGAATATGGTGGGCATTTTTCTAAACAACTAATTTTCTTAAAAATTATACAAATGCATTTTAGTTTTTAATACACTACACCAAACAATTGATAAGAAATAATCTCTGTATAACTAATGCTTGCATTACTAACACATGTATTACTAATCTCTTCATTACTAATAAGGGGATGTACCTCATTCTAATTTCTAGTTGCAGAATATCAATCAAAGTCTACAAGGTACTAAATGAGGACATAAATTTTGCAGAGATATTGTGTTATTAATGTTTTATTCCACATTGGAGGAAATGGTTGTGGTCCCATTACTGTCTCATTACACTATACTGAGTAGCACTTATTGGTGGTGTAAATGCAGCTGGCAAATGACCCTTTCCAAGACAGTCTTAAATATTTAACATTATTCTTTTAATCCAAGAAATATCTTTATTTTAAATCTACTCAATTTCGATTTTGTTATACTAATTTTTTAATCAAATTGTGTAAACTATTGATTTACTAGTATTTTATTGTTACTTATGAAATTTTAAATATCTAGGTGTTTGGACAATAAAATATTAGTATTTGAAGTTGAAAAAAGTTTGACATGAACTACAAGAAAAATACGTTTATAAATGTTGACAATTTGTAGGGGAAAAAATAGTGTGTGCTAACCAGTTTTCGGACCAATAATCGAAAAATAACCAACATTTGCAAAGTTATTGAAAAATAGTCATTATTTTATGCGAAAATAAAATTTAGATAAAAATACCCCGAAACACGGAAAATTCCAACATACTATGCTAGATTATGAAGCTCATGCGTATAAAACTTCCGGCATTATTATATTGGAACTCCAACACATTACGAAATTCCAGCATATTATGCTAGAATATCATATATAAAAAATTCGAACTTCAACATATTTTCTAGAATTTTTAAGGGTATTTTTCTTCAAATTTTATTTTTATATAAAAATATGGCTAAATTTCGATTACTTTTGAAATTGCACTTATTTTTTAGTTACAGATTAAAAATCAAATTATTTTTTATTTTCCCCTAAAATACTGCCTCAATACAATAGCAGAACTTTAATGCACTGGACTTAAAAAGTTAATACATGTACTGAAATAGTAGTACAGTATTACTCAAAAGGGCATAAATTAAAAATATGATATTCCGTATTTAAATTGGAATTGAAGTTAGAGAGAAAAACATTAAAAAACGAATAAAACAAGCAACCACCTGTCTAGAGTTCACACTTTTTCTGCCTTCTCTCTCCTCTTTCTCTCTCCTCTTTCTCTCTCTTCACCCATGGCCAGTCTATGGCGAGCAGCAATGGGAAGCTCGACTCAGTCGAACGACGACTACGACGGAGTCGAGTTCTGGACGAACCCAGAGCGAACCGGCTGGCTCACTAAACAAGGCGAGTACATAAAAACGTGGCGTCGCCGGTGGTTCGTGTTGAAACAAGGAAAACTCTTCTGGTTCAAGGAAGCGAACATCACGCGCGGATCGAAATCACGTGGTGTGATTCCAGTGGCTAATTGCCTCACAGTTAAAGGAGCTGAAGATGTTTTAAACAAACAGTTTGCTTTCGAGCTTTCTACTCGCTCTGATACTATGTATTTTATTGCTGATTCGGAGAAAGAGAAGGAGGATTGGATCAATTCGATCGGACGGTGCATAGTGCAGCACTCTAGGTCTGTTACTCATGATGAAATTCTGGACTATGATAGCCGGAAATAATTAATATTGCCACAACCTAATTTTGGTACGCCTATCCTTTTTTGTTTTTTGGAAATAACTATTTTATTTGTTTTGTCTCTGTGTGTAGTGTGAATGTATATAGTTTTTCGCATTTGAAGCAGTAAGTACTTTGTTTAAGTCATTGTTAAATTGTGAATGCCGTATATTTGCTGCGTTGAAATGCATATGTACCTTTTTCAAATACACTCAAACCTCTCTATAACAACCTCATTCGAAACTTTTTGGCTGTTATAGCGAAGTGCTTATAGAGAACATATATTATAACATAACATGAAAATTTGTTCCATAAAAGAGCTTGTCTTTTATTGTTAATGACTGTTATTTAGCGATGTTGTTAACTTGATTAGTTAAGGCTTTGAATTGTTACTTGTTAGTGATGGTGATTAACTGAATAGAGCCTACTGTTGACAATTATGGTTGAAGAAATGCAATTAAAAGAATATTTAAAGTAAATGGAGATGAGATCAGCTAACCTTCAATCCTCTCGACTTAAAGTTCAGTCATAGAGGAATGTCCGAAATCATCAAGGAATGAGTTTTTTGGAATGATATTAGAGTGAAGTGAAAACAAACAAAATGGATTCTCTAATTTATTTTTTTCGAATAGGAATTCTGGGACTTGCTACTGTACCATGAAGTTTCTATTTTGCTATCAAGCTGTACTTGTTCTTGCATTCTTTGAGCTACTACCCAATTTTTTTTTTCTGTTGATATTCCGTCGGCCTCCCAACATGTTCAACCATCATTTATAGCGTTTGAGACAGCCTTCTGTCTTAGGCTTTTATTTTGATAACCGAGAAATCTCCGAGAGATAGTGGTGCACGGTTTGAAATTCGGTGGATAATGGGTCCGCCCCGCTGCTCTTCTCCACTTAAATACCAGTCTTATGTCTGGGGCAGGATTTGAACCCGTGACATACTCCTAACTCACACATCATGTGTTGTGCTCTTGCCACTAGACCAGGGGGCGTCCCTCGTTAGTTACTCTTTCGTTTTTCTCTTTTGTGGATTTCAGCTTATGCAAATGCATCTTTTGGTTCCTAATTCACGCAAGTGAAATTTTGGTAGTCTTGGTTGAGTTACACCTTCATTTTTTTCTGTTTCATGGATTTCAACTTGTATAAATGCATCCTCTTAATAATAAATCCTATCACATTTTGGCGGTCTTGGTTGAGTCAAAGTTACCTTAACATTTGCTACTTAAGCTCTGTGGTGATATATTTATTTGGATCATTTTATAGAGCTCGTTTAGATTGGTCATGCTTCGGTGGATCCATATTCTTTTGTCAGTGAGGTTTAACCTCCTATTCTTACATTTCCGTGGCCTCATTCTCATGTTCCATAAGCATTTTCCTTTCCGCGGTCCTTTCCGTTGATAGTCAGACTGCTGCTTCTTTCTCCCCGTCCATAAAATCTCAGTTGTGCACTGGGCAGGTTGGCTGGTTATGACTTCAGAAAACCAAAAGAAAGCTTGTCTTACATACAACCAAAGTTGCATTATATTGCTGAGATGATTTGTAGGTAGCTTTCCCTCTAGTTATTATCATTAAAGCCCTGAAGTTCTTTATAAAAGAAAAAGAAAAATCCAGAGTTTTATTAACAATTGTGTCTTATTATCCTACAAAATTTCGCATGACATGGCGGTAAAAATCTCTATTTACTTTCTCACATGGAGTTAAAAAACTGGGGCTTTTTAAGATAAAGTATGCTATAGATGGGAGCCTTTTGAATATCTAGAGATTTTGGTGTTGTGCTAGATCTGAGCACTTGCCAAGTTAGGAATTTCAGGATATTTAGTAGTTATAAGTGTTGTTTGGTAAAACTGAAACTAATCAATGGAAACTAGAGCTAATCTAATCCAATACCACTATACTGATAATCCAATAGTGTTTCTTAATGTCAATGCTCACTGGAGTTCAGAAGAAACTTGTTTCTCCTTCAGAAAAATAGAATTTCTCTTCCACCAACTTTCTGCTGATAATTTTGTCATTTTGACTTAGTTTCGTTAGAAAAAAGAAATCAGTCTCTACATTAATGGTTTTCAAGAAGTTGTTTTCTAATGTGTCCTTTAGCTTATGTACATCAAATTCAGCATTTTCGTCAACCAATATATATTTTATCTAATACCATATCCAACATTGGCATAGTTCTGCTGCCAGAAATGGACTGTCGATCTTTGAATCAACATACTTGTTGGCTGCACCTTTGCCATTTTTTGGCATTTTATTATGTGAACATACACTAAAATGAGCTTGCTTACCCAATAAAGTAATAGGGAGGAGTGGTCGGTTTATTGTAGCTTAAATTTTAATGCTCATGCTGTCTGGGTAAGATGCCTTCTGAATATTCTGCATTTAACTTACCTAAACTTTGTAAGAGAACAAGTCTAGATCGGCCTTGAAATTTCTAAAGGATAAGTCTAGATCATATGCGATACATTCTAGAGAACATGACCAAATAATGAATCCTTATACAACAAGGAAATGCTTGACGGACACGTTTGGTTTGAGAAGTTTTTCAGAAGTCCTTCAAAACCCAAAAACTAAATTTGAAATTTTGTTTTGGTTTGTCCTTTTTCCTGGAAAACGAAACCGAGAAGCCAGTTTTTTTAACCTAAAGTGAGCTCTAACCCAAACTGATTGATATTGGATAGCTAAATATGAGTGATTTGGGGTGAAGCTTTAACCAAGAAGTGTTTGGACGATGAGATATTTCTGTTGTGTGTTTGTGTATATATATTTTTTTATGACAGTTATTGTATCGACGTTGCGCTGATGGACAATGAGTGTTTGATTCTCTTTTTACACATTTTTTTCATTTTTACTTATCCAGCAATCAGCACCCTCAGTTTACTTTTTACTTTTCTTTGGTGTCCTGCACGCTGTGGCAGTTAGAAAGCTATGTTCATTTACTGGTTGCCGATAATCATGGTGCCGGAGAGTAGGTGATTGCATATGAATATCAGTCACCCAACCTTCTCCTTTTCTCGCCATTGTTTTTACTTAGATTGGCATACAACAGAGAGAGATTTGCTAAGCCCCCGGGAAAATGAACCTACATAGTCGATCCACCAATCGTGAAGTAAAGAAACTTCAGTTCAGAAAAAAAAGAAGAGAGAAATTTAATCTTTATGGGAGGTCTTTCCCATGTGGGAACTGCATTATCGAACAACTGTAACTTCACCATGAGCTTGTATTGAGTATACGGTATGGAGAGAGGATTCCGTAGCACAACATCGTGCTTGGGCATTCCTCCTTTTAAAAGAAGACTAGAGGGCGAAAGAAGTATAAGCTCTTACATCGGATAAAGCCTAATTCCATTGTCCTTTGAAAATCGGACAATAGTGAAGACGGACTTTCTTGCAAAACAAATGATTTCCTATGAAAGACATCTTGCCAAAAGAAACAAAAGATCATCAGAGAATGCTCCTTTCATGTTCATTATAACAATATTTAGCATCAAACTGTTGCGTGTTGCCTGTTTTAGTTCACTGCCTTGTTTTGGATAACTGCTTTCATTGAGCCGAGGGTCTTATCGGAAACAACTTCTCTACCTTTGCAAGGTAGGGGCAAGGTCTGCGTACACATTACCCTCCCCAGACCTCACTTTACACGTGTATGTTGTTGTTTTTGTCTTCTTTTAAGTAACCCGGCTTTAGCTCAGTGCCTTTGCAATCGCTTCTTCACCAAACTCGAACTCTTGGGTTATAGAATTGGAACTCTTCTTTTCTTTTGTTCTCTTTTTCTCAAAACAGTGCTATCTCTCCATACATAATTTGAATGAAAGGAACATTTAACTTAGAACATTCAGGCAAACTAAAAATATCAGTTCAACAAGTAAACTAATCGACCTTAAATTTTGGTAACTCACAGAAATTAACAAATTGCAGAGATTTGAGCTACAAAATTGCAGGCAAAATTGCTAACTCAGTAAATTAGGACTCAACAATCTCAATTTTAACGACTTGTCCATCATCAAATGGATCTCTTTTTGGAGCTGCTGGTGGTGCTGCAACCCTAGGTGGCCCTCTTCCCTTCTTCTTATTCCTTGGCCTTGCCTAAACGAATTCATAGAGGCGCAAAGAGTTAATATCAGTTTAAAATAGACATCAAAATATTGAAATCTCCAAGTTTAAAAACTTCATCCAATCAGTTATGCCGCAATCTAAAACTAAAGGTCACTGCTTAACTAGGCTCTCGAGTGTGTTGTCTCGGGTTTGAAACTTGGGTATGGAGTTGCCTTTGCTGGAGAGCATTTTACCCTCAAATGTGGGACTTTCCGGTGCAAATCTAGATTTAATTGGAGCCCAAAGCGAATAATATCACTGATGGGCTGGGCTGTTACATATAGTATCAGAGCTACTCCACGTGCAACCTTAGCGAGGACGCTGAGTCCCTAAGGAAGGTGAATGCAACATCCTAAGCGAATCTCACATCGACAAAACACTGAGAAGATGTTGGGTATATAAGTAAATAAGCCTTTGATCCTTAGTACATCCATATAAACCCTCTTATCTCTTTCTCTATTAAGGTTACTTTCATTTCAATACTAGTAAATGATTGTTTTAATTAAATTAAAGGGGTTACCTACATCCTTACAAAAGCACACAAGTTTTCAACAAAATTAGCAAAAGGGTACTGTAAAAAACAAAGTAAAATTGTAAGAGTGAAGCCAAACTCACATTCCCAAAGGAGTAATTAAAACGCTTGCCTTTTGCAGTTTTCTTGTCTCCTCTGCCACAGTAAACTGAAATCAAATAGCATAAGAATATCATTATCCTGAGTCAAATTGCATAGTAGTAAAATATTTGGTTTTACAAGTGCTCCATACTCAATGGAAGATTTGCAAAGGTGACATCTAAAGATACTGATGCTGAAGAAGTTGCTGAAACTGAGGCGCCGGATATGGAAAGAGAACGAGAGAAAGATAGATTAGGAAAGAAAGCCATAGGAACTGCTCCAAGTAACGACGACGCCATTGCAGTTGAAGTGATAGAGTGAGATAGGATTAAGGTTGTGGCCTTCAAAACCTTTATTTTTTATGGATAATGTGTAAAGGGATAAAGCCATAGCCTGATTTATGACGGGTAATTGAGAAATAGCCACAGTTTTAAAAGTAATCGAAATTTAGTCATTTTTTCATGTAAAGATAAAATCTGAACAAAAATATCCTTAAAAATTCGGAAATATTCCAGCATAATATGGAATTTCATAATGTGCTGGAGTTCCAACATAATATGCAGGAAGTTTATAGGCAGGAGCTCCATAATCCCGCATATTAGGCTGGAATTTTTCGAGTTTCAGTAAAACAATGGTTATTTTTCAATAATTTTGCAAACGCTAACTATTTTTCGATTACTGAAACTGACTAGCTCGTGCTATTTTCACATAAAACGATAGGCAGTTGTTATTCAATGGCCCTGGAAACTAATGTCTTTAAAATTAAAAAAAAAATTACTACTAATGCTCCCAAAATTTAATCTTTTGAAAAGTTAAATTTCTTTTAAAGTATTTGATCGTATTAAAACATTTAAATATTATTTATTTGTTAATAATTAGTGAATTATTAATTAGGTGTGATGTTTAAAGAAAGAGAAAGAGTAGTTTAGACAATATTATGTTTGCAAAAACTTGAAAAGAAATAGATAAATATGGATTGAAAGAAGTATTACTCCATTTTAAATGGAAGTAGGGATTCTTTTGTCGCGTTCAAAAAAATAATTGAGTGAAAAAGAGCAACGTAGAACAAAAAATTACTTTTTTTCCCATCTTGGGTTTTTCATTTATGAATGTAGAATTTTTTTGTAGGTTTTGAAATGGTATAGTACTCAAAAAGTAAAGAATAATAGACTAATTTTAGGAAATTAGACATCATTTATGAAGATTAAAAACATGGAAAAAAGACATGAACAACAAAAACTTTCCTGCAAGAGAGTATTTTTCTTGGAGTTTGTCGCATTTACAAAAATAATTACTATTAAACAATTCTTTGTTGGACCTCGGAATGACCCTGCACTATGGATTTCCCGTTATCATCCATGTAAAAATTTGTTTTTGCATAAGTTGGACGGTCCTTAAATTGCCTCTCCAGAAAAAGGAAAAAGAAAATAAAGAACAGCTTATATATATATATANTTAGTACTGTGGTTAAGCCAAGTGGCAAGCTAATAAATGCTAATCCATATATATATTAAAGGAATAAAGTTACCAAATATAAATTAGCATTGTGGTTAAGCCAAGTGGCAAGCTAATAAATGTTAATAATGTATGGTAACTTTATTCTATATTTGATTATGTTAGTCAAATACAAATATATATATATATATAATTGAATTTGAATTAAAATAAAAATAAAAAGAAATTTGTCTTTTGTTATCATGTTATCATGCTTAATTCAGTTAATGATCATATGCAATCATGTTAAGAACTTTTGTTAATTTTTTATAATTATTTAAATATTACTTTTCCTCGGGCAAAAAGGAAAAAAAAAATCTTCATATAATTCTAAACTCTTTCACATCAAAAACCCTATAATTATAGTTCTTTAAAACACTATAGCTAGATTTGAATAATGCAGATTTCTCTTAAAATAAATATAATATATATGGTACATGTCTATATTTATTCAAATAACAAAAAAGAGTTTAAAAATCAAATAAAAGTTTACTTACATATATAATGAAGTAAAGCTACATGGTATAGAAAGAAACATCACAATAATGTGTTAATATT